GAATTGTCCAGCTACTAGAGTCTGGAGTTAATTTTGTGACTCAGTTCTTGTGGGTGTTTTCGGGCTATATGGCCATGTTCTAGAGGCATTTCTCCTGACGTTTCGCCTGCATCTATGGCAAGCATCCTCAGAGGTGAGGTCTGCTGGAGCTGGGAAAAAGGGGGTTTATATATCTGTGGAATGACCAGGGTGAGACAAAGGGCTTTTGTCAGTTGGGCTAGGTGTGAATCTTTCAACTGACCACCTTGATTAGCATACAATGGGCTGACTGTGCCTGGAGCAAACTCTTCTTGAAAGGTGATTAGATGTCCCTGCCTGTTTTTCTCCCTGCTGTTTTGCTGTTGCAATTTTAGAATTTTTTAATACTGGTAGCCAGATTTTGTTCATTTTCATGGTTTCTTCCTTTCTGTTGAAATTGTCCACATGTTTGTGGATTTCAATGGCTTCTCTGTGTAGTCTGACATGGTGGTTGTGAGAGTGGTCAATCATTTCTGTGTTCTCAAATAATATGCTGTGTCCAGGTTGGTTCCTCAGGTGCTCTGCTATGGCTGACTTCTCTGGTTGAAGTAGTCTGCAGTGCCTTTCATGTTCCTTGATGCGTGTCTGGGCGCTGCAGTTTGGTGGTCCCTATGTAGACTTGTCCACAGCTGCATGGTATACGGTAGACTCCTGCAGAGGTGAGAGGATCCCTCTTGTCCTTTGCTCAATGTAGCATTTGTTGGATTTTCTTGGTGGGTTTGTAGATTGTTTGTATGTTGTGTTTCCTCATCAGCTTCCCAATGCGGTCAGTGGTTCCCTTGATGTATGGCAGGAACACTTTTCCTCTGGGTGGATCTTCGTCTTGACTCTCGTGGCTTCTTCTCAGTGGTCTTGCATCTCTTCTGATGCTGAGGTGGAGTATCCATTGGCCTGGAGAGCCCAGTTGAGGTGGTTCAGTTCATCTTGGAGGAGGTGGGGTTCGCAGATTCTTTTTGCACGGTCTGCCAAGGCTTTAATTGTGCTTCTTTTTTGACTTGGGTGATGGTTGGAGTTTTTATGTAGATATCTATCTGTGTGTGTGGGTTTTCTGTAAACGGTGTGACCCAATTGTTGATCTGGTTTATGGATGACTAGGACATCTAGAAAAGGCAGTCTTCCTTCCTTTTCTTTTTCCATAGTGAACTGGATGTTTGGGTGGATGCTGTTAAGATGGTCCAGGAACCTGTTGAGTTCTTCTTCTCCATGGCTCCAAATGGTGAAGGTGTCATCCACATATCTGAACCATATGGTGGGCTTTTTGGTTGCTGTTCCAAGAGCTTGTTTTTCAAATTGTTCCATGTAGAAGTTAGCTATGACTGGGCTGAGAGGGCTCCCCATAGCTACTCCATCTTTCTGTTCGTAGAATTCATTGTCCCATTGTTAATTTTGTGAGCTTACCAACCTTTCCTCCTTGGTTCAGGCACAGAAAAACAGGGCTATGTTGATTCTGACAGTAGATACTTGGGTGTGTGTTCTGAGAAATTATGGCCATCAAGAGCAGGTGGCTCTCAGGAGGAGGAGAGGTCTGCTTCCTGGAAGGGAGGGAGGGGTCCAGGTGTGTCAGCAGCCCAGGCTCAGATCAATGGCACTAATTTGCATGACTTGGCAGTTTATTGTTTTCATCCTTGAAGGTGGTCTATAAAAAGCCCTTGAGCTTCCTCTGAACCTCTGGATTCAAGCACTACGCCTTCCATTTTGGTTTTGTAAGTATTCCCTCTTTGGCATTTGCTGTTGGATCTCTCTATCTGTCCATCCTGCTTTCTCTGGAAGGCCTTGTCTACTCTAAATGAATCCTGTGTTTGCTTTTAAACATCAGAAGGATGAATGTATGATCCAGACCTTGGGTAGTCAATCCAGTAGTCATTCAGGAAGATGTTATACTTCTGTATTTGTAATTGTATGGATTTCTGGGACTCTTTTTCCCCCTCCCGTAGTTGACAGACAAGAAGTCCTGTTTGCCAGGTCACCAGGAAGGGCCACCAACATCTCTTGTCTCAAGGTGAGTTTCATCTTATTGGTCATCTGTTGGGAGGGCTTGGATCATGTTTTCTGCATGGCACAAAGAAGGCTGACTAGATGGCCTTTAGTAATATCTATGTTCATTTGTGGGATTAACAGAACTCAAAAACCTCTGGACGAATTGACACCAAATTTGGATACAAGGCACCTCTCAGGCCAACGAGTGACCTTCACTCATAAAACACTGAAAAACACAGTGGAAGGGACTTAAAAAGCGAGAAAACCAAAAATACATTACAACGCATGCACAAAACCACATATATACACACAAACACACATATATACACATATATACATATATATATATGCATATGCGCACACACAGAAAGGAGGAACGAAGGGAGGGAGGGAGGGAGGAAAGAAGGCTAGAGAAGGAAGGATGGAGTGAAGGAGGGAAAGAAAGAGGGAAAAAAGGAGGGAAGGAAAGAAAGGTAGAGAAGGAAGGAAGGAGAGAAGGAAATAAAAAAGCGAAAGAGGGAAGGAAGGAGAGAAGGAACGAAAGAGAGAAAGAGGGAGGGAAGGAAGGAAAGAGACAAGGAAGGATGGAACCAAAGAGCAAAGGAAACAAGAAAAGAAACAGGTAGAGAAGGAAGAAAGAAGAAGGGAAAGAAAAAGAGGGAAGGAAGGAAAGAGGGAGAGAAGGAAGGAGAGAAAGAAAGAAGGAGAGAAAGAGGGAGGGAAGGTTGACCACAGCAAAACGTGGCGGGTACAGCTAGTAATAAATAATAATAAACTTTATTTATACCCCGTCTCCATCTCCCCGAGGGGACTTGGGCAGCTAACACGAAGCCAAGCCCAACAAATTACGACAGAGCAAAATAATACAACAAAAAAATCCTAAAATAATATATCATTAAAAATACAATAAATCAGAAGAATAATCTATATAAATAAAAATGTAATGTTCGTTTGTGGGATTAACATAACTCAAAAACCACTGGACCAATTGACCCCAATTTTGGACACAAGACACCTCTCCGGCCAATGAGTGACCATCACTCATAAAAATACTGAAAAACACAGCGGAAAGGACTTAAAATCCAAAAAAAGCAAAAAGATGCTGTAGCGCATGTGCAAAAATGACTCCTCGTGGCAAACAAAGCACACAATAGCATATCCACACTCTCTTCTGGACTACAGCTCCCAGCATCCCCCAGACCAGGCCCTTTTGGAGAGGAGGATGATCCAAATGCACTGCTTCCAAGATGCAAGCTTTCTTCTCCTTGGATTTCTTTGAAAGCATCCCATTTCCGGCATATTTCCTATTTCCTATTCCTGTACTGCAACTCCCAGCAATCCTTCAGATAGATTGAATAGATAGAGATAGGCAGGTAGGTAGATCGATCAGGAGGCCTTAGTTTGAGGACCCCTGCTCTAATCATTAATCACACCACACCTTGGATAAAAAAGTGTCATCTTTATTTGAAGAATAATTGGAGCCAACAAAAGAGATGAATATAAAGTTGATAAAAGTCCCAAAGCAAAAAAACCAAATAAGCAGTAACAAAAGCAGTGTCCAAACATAGGAATAATGACAAAGTTCCAAAAGCTTGCTGTTTAAATCCAGATGCAAAGAAATATCAAATGCCTTCTATCAAAACCATGGACATAGCCACTGCTAATCCATTTGAAAAAGCCAGGAAAACTAGGAGACAAGGCCACAAGAATATCCAAAAGACGTGACTTGAAACCAAGTCAATTCCCTAAGAGCTCAATTTAAGTCCCAGAAACTGAGTTCTATTCCCCCGAGTCTTTGGCCTTAATTGCCAAATTCTTTCTGACCTGCGTAAATATTGGGCCTCCCTACGGTTCTGGCTAATTTCCAGCCGGCGACTAGTCTTATCTATCTCTTCATTAACTGCAGGTGTGAAACTATCGTACAGACTCGAGCCTGGAGAAGGGAGTGAACTTTCCTGCAAACTTGAGCCTGGAATTTTCTCATGAGAACTCAGCCTTTCCCCTGACCCTTCTCAATCAGAGTCTGCAGTGACCTTATTGTCCAAAGTGTCTCCATTTTGCACCTCATCCTCATTGACATCCAAGTCTGACTCAGAAACATTAGAAGGGGGAAGCACTATAACAGATTCAGGGTCAAACACAGGCTGAGTCCCAACAGAGTATAACATAAATAACAAGACATTGAACCAAGTGGGCAGAGCCAAATAAACAAATGGGATTTTAAAAGCCCTGGGTGAGATGGGTGGGTAGGGTAATGTATCTGATGGGAAGTTCAGATGGGACAAACAATGGGATTCAGTTCACTGAAGAGTGAGATAAAGTGCACCGAAAGACATTATGTATGTACTGATGTGGTCAAGCTAAGGGACTTGTTGTGGTCTCTTCCAACTCTATGATTCTGTAATATCAAAATCAAGAAACCCCCTCCTTTCTCTAGAAGATGTCAAGAGCCCAAGAAATGTGAGGAGCACCTCTTTAGGAAGGTTTGCTTAATGCCTTGGGGAAATGCAGAGCCAGCTGTAGTCCAACACTTCTTCGATGCTTGTTATTTCGATTTCCTAACCTTTCCAACACTGTGTTCCGATTTCATGACTGGGTTTTGCATTTTGGTTGAATATTTGCATTGTCTGGGGACCCTTTATCCTTTTTCGGAATGTCTCCCTTCTGGCCATTTTGCATGACAGTCTGGTTATTCTGGCACTGACCAGAATAACCAGACTCTTCAGCCAACCGTCCAAAGGCATTCAAACCATAGAATCCTGGAGGTGGAAGAGACCCAAGCAACTTTTAATTACAGTTCAACAAGAAGGTAGTTAGTCATTGCTGGCCTTAATATTATACTGGTGTTTCCAAAATTATTAACTCCATCCATACATCCTTCCATTCTTTCATTCATACCCAGTCCTTAAATTGTGGTGCCCAGAACTGGACCCTGGCTCTTGCCTACCATGCCACATCATTTCAAATCTGCACATTAAATTTTTGTGACAGAGACCACCCCCATTTTGCCAAGAGGGGTTAAGGAGGACCACTGGATTCCTCTGATTTCCATCTCTGTTTCCCTTTCCTTTGGCAAGATGATCCAGATCTGGATGGGCCTTCTGGCCACCATGGCAATCCTGGTTGGGCATGGAGAGGCTGGGTCCTGCAGGCCCTGGCTGTACGGCAGAGGTAAGAACAGCAAGGGGAAGTCTTTCTCCATAGTCTTTCTCAATTTGACAACTATCGGCCTGTTTCCAATCTCCCCTACTTGGGCAAGGTCATGGAACGTGTGGTGGCAACACAACTCCAGGGGTTTCTGGTAGACACTGATTATCTAGACCCGGCACAGTCTGGCTTTAGGCCGGGACATGGAACTGAGACAGCCTTGGTCGCCTTGGTAGATGATCTACGCAGGGAGCTAGACAGGGGGAGTGTGTCCCTGTTAGTTCTGCTGGACCTCTCAGCGGCCTTCGATACCGTCGATCACGGTATCCTTCTGGGCCGCCTCATGGATATGGGGCTCGGAGGCACTGCTCTGCGGTGGCTTTGATCCTTCCTTGAGGGACGGACCCAGAAGGTGTTACTGGGTAACACCTGTTCGGCCCCACAACCGTTGTTGTGTGGAGTCCCACAGGGTTCTATCTTGTCCCTGATGTTATTTAACATCTACATGAAGCTGCTGGGAGAGATCATTCGGAGTTTCGGACTAAGATGCTATCTCTATGCAGATGACGTCCAAATCTGTCACTCCTTCTCACCTGTCACCAAGGAGGCTGTCCAGACCTTGAACCGGTGTTTAGCTGCTGTATCGGACTTGATGAGAGCTAACAAATTGAAATTGAATCCAGACAAGACAGAGGTCCTACTGGTCAGTCGTAAGGCCGAACAGGGTATAGGGTTACAGCCTGTGTTAGATGGGGTTACACTCCCCTGAAGACGCAGGTTCGCAGCTTGGGAGTGATCCTGGACTCATCGCTGAGCCTGGAACCCCAGGTCTCAGCGGTGGCCGGGAGAGCTTTCGCACAATTAAAACTTGTGCGCCAGCTGCGCCCGTACCTTGGGAAGTCGGATCTGGCCACGGTGGTCCACGCTCTTGTCACATCCCGGTTGGATTACTGCAACGCACTCTACGTGGGGTTGCCTTTGAAGACTGCTCGGAAACTTCAACTAGTCCAGCGAGAAGCAGCCAGATTGCTCACCGGAGCGGCGTACAGGGAGCACACCACCCCCCTGTTGCGTCAGCTCCACTGGCTGCCGATCCAATTCCGAGCACAATTCAAAGTGCTGGTTTTGACCTACAAAACCCTATACGGTTCCGGCCCAGTGTATCTGTCCGAACGGATCTCCCTCTACATCCCACCTCGAAGTTTAAGATCTTCTGGGGAGGCCCTGCTCTCGACCCCGCCAGTGGCACAAGTGAAACTGGCGGGGACGAGGAGCAGGGCCTTCTCAGTGGTGGCCCCCCACCTGTGGAACTCACTCCCCGGGGAGATAAGATCGGCATCCTCCCTCTTGGTGTTTAGGAAAAAACTAAAGACCTGGATGTGGGACCAAGCTTTTGGCCATGCTGACAACTAACTAAAGGACCTATCGATAGACAAGGACAATGGAATGGAATGGATATATGGACTCTGATATATGGACTCTGACATGAGATAGTTTTTATGATTTTAATAGGTATTGATGTTTCATTTTAATTGTTGAACTGTTATATTTTGTATTGTTTGTTGTGTGATTTGGGCATCTAATTGTGCCTCCTTTGTAAGCCGCCCTGAGTCCCCCCCGGGGTGAGAAGGGCGGGGTATAAGTAGATGAAATAAATAAATAAATAATAAATAGGGCTTGGTGACTTCCACACCACCGACCATCTTGGGCATCCTTCGCTGGATACAGTCCTTAAATTGTGGTGCCCAGAACTGGACCCTGGTTCTTGCCTACCATGCCACTATCTTCAACACAGCACCTCCCCAGAGGTTTAGACCATTTCCCTGCTTCCCTGGATATCTGAGCTGAACCTCCGCAGGTTGGAAATGTGTGGTACTTCGGATATCACCATGCTGCAACTCCAAGCATTGCTCCATTGAATATCGGGGGGGGGGGGGATACAATACCCCTGTTAGAGTCCAGCCTGTGATTGTGGCTAATGATCAGGGAACTCTGGATGTTGGGAATAACAATGAGGTTCATATGTCTAATGGTGAGGTTGCTTTAGATGCAGAGAATGACAATGGGATGCCTGTTCAGAGTGACTTTTCCGATGAGAATGTTCCTGAAGGGTTTGGGGATGATGGTCTGTTCCTTGGGTTACTAGAGAATTCCCAAGGTTTTGAGTCTGAGAAAGGCTCGGTACCTGGGCCAGCTGCAGATAGATAGGAGAAGTGCTTTCAGTCAGCAAAGGAAAACAAACCAGGCTCTCAGGCGCTCTGCCAGATTGCAGGAGAGACTGATAGCAGATTCAAGGCTGAAAAGAAATCCTTTCCTGGGCGCTTGGGATATAGAGTAGATTAGGGGATGAAAGTGCCAAGTACAGAATCTGTAGTCAGATGAAGCAATGTTGTAAATGAGTCAAGACGTCATCTCAGGTCCCTGGAAGCCTTGCCTTGGGTAGATCCTTGTATCAAGTGCCTTGCTATTTCCATACTGAAGTGCTTTGTTTGATTCATGCTCATGTTTTGGGGTTTTGCCTTGGAAGTTCCAGTATTTGTTGTCATGAACTCTGATGGACCATTTCCTGGAATTGTTGTTCCTATCTTTCCTTTCTACCTAATTGGATTTATCTATTTTTGTGGATTTCTTTTTACTGCTTTCAATTATTTTCAGTAAACTGCTGGCATCTTACTCAGCTGTGTGGTTTTTAAAGTCAGAGGGTTTCCTGGCCTGGAGTGTCACAACCCCCAGATGTTCAATGTTGCCCTCCTTTCTCCCCCAGTTTACAACTTGGCCAGAGGCCGCCCGGCCTTCCAGTCCTCTGTCTACCCATATGAGAATGTTGGCGTGGCCAGCAAAGCTGTCGATGGGAATTGCAACGGGGACTGGTACCACGTTGGGTCCTGCATCCACACCAACGCTGACTATGAGCCCTGGTGGTACGTGGACCTGGGAGACTACTATGCCATCAATACCGTGCTGGTGAAGAACCGGGGGGACTGCTGCGGGGAGAGACTCAAGGGCGCTGAGATCCGCGTGGGAAACAACAAAGGGAACGACAAATCCAATTACCTGTGAGTATCTTTGCTTTCCTCTATGTGCTGAATATCGCTCTGGCTGCGCATCCATGCTTACTCCCCCATTGCAGTCCTCTTGTACATTCATGTTGGTTTATCTTTGCAATAACAGAAGAGAGTCAAGGAAGAAACACCAACATGAATGTAGAAGAGGACTACTGCTTTGCTTTCTCCCATTAGTGCTTCATTGCATTATCCAAGGTATGTGTGCAATAGGATCCCAAACATCTCTTCCTTTTCTAAACCCAGTTTGCACATTTGCTGCTTCTCTCTCCATCTCTGGTAGAAGTCTTGGTTGTAGAATGTTGGCTTGAATGGGAAATGAATGAAAGGCTGCTATGGTTACTGCCCTGCTTGGTGTTTTTGGCAATTTTACTTTACTTAGGCAATCCCTCGTAGCTCGAGGATGATTGTCTTCCAGATGTGGTGTCCTGGCGGTGGGTTCGTTGGTGACTGTGGAGCCCTATTTTTGATCTGCATCTTCTCCCACAGTGAGGGCATCAGTTTCCAGATGGAATGCGGTCCCAGTCAAGGTTGGCTTAACATGCCTTCCTCTTGGCACGTTTCTCCTTTTCGCCCTCCATTCATGCCTCTTTTAATTCTGCAGCACTGCTGGTCATAGCTGACTTCCAGTTAGAGTGCTCAAGGGCCACAACTTCTCTGTTCTCTGTGTTTATGCCACAGTTTTGGCGGTTGGCTTTGAGCCCATCTTTCAATCTCTTTTCCTGCCCACCAACATTCCATTTTCCTTTCTTGAGTTTGGCATAGAGCAACTGCTTTGGGAGACGGTGGTCAGGCATCCGGACAATGTGGCCGGTACAGCGGAGTTGATGGCGGAGGACCATCATGTCAATGCTGGTGGACTTTGCTTCTTCCAGCATGCTGACATTTGTCCACCTGTCTTCCCAAGAGATTTGCAAGAGATTTGTCCACCTGTCTTCCCAAGAGATTCGGAGGCAGCACTGACGGAATTATTCCAGGAGTTGAGTGTGACATCTGTAGACAGTCCACGTTTCGCAGGCGTGTAGTAAGGTTGGGAGGACAATGGCTTTATAAACAAACACCTTGGTCTCCCTAAAATTCCTGTGCAATATGAGCCCCTGAGGGTGGACAATCCTACGTTTGCAGACTTAACTGAGGATGCTTGCTCAGCAGGAGAAGGAGGGCAGATCGACCCCAAGTTAGAAGAAGGGTAGAATGTGAAATGACTGAGGGAATGGGAGGGTTTTCTTGTATGCATAGGAACCCGGTTGGACCTGGCTGGCAGGAGACAATTGCGGACATTCAGAGGACAACTGCTAATATTACATCAAACTCTATTGCTTGCTCTACCGCTGATCCCTGCCAAAACCAACATCTTTTGTAGACGAACAATCTAGTGGTTGAAGTGGCAGATTTAATGATCAATAGAGGCAGATGGACCTCAAGGAGGGCGGTCCGCAGATCTCTGGCTCAAATTTTATCAAAGAGACCATCAGAAGTCAGAGTGAAGGCCATAACATGGTTATGTACAGACTATCAAGCATACGATCACTCTACCTGTCTTCTTATTACACCAGAAGACAATTCATGGCTTGGTGAGCTATTAACAATGCAATCGTACTTAAACAGATGGGGCATTACCATCACAAAGGTGTTTGTGGATCCTCCTGTTCGCCCCCTTTTTGACAGCTTGGAACCTTCTCACCATGATCCATCTGGTTCCAGTAATAATTCCACAAATAGCTCCCCTGTTAGGACCCCTCCACCCCCACAGTACCAATTTGAAACCCCATCTGCACCGGTTGTCCCTTCCCAATCAGCTACACTCTCCCGCCCAAGGACACTCCCCTTGTTCAGCCCTCTCAATTCCCATGATGATTCCTTTTTCTCAATGACATCGGAGACATCTTCACATGACATCCAAAGTAAGTCACGATCTAGCTCCTCTTGGTTGGAGAGCTGACTAGCCACAAAATCTGATTCCCAGGGGGAAGGGGGGTGGGTTCCGGAGAAGACGGGCACCATTGAGGTTGTGTGGGGGAGGAGAAATGCAGGTCACCGATATGCCAGGGAGAAGCACAACAGAGTTCTTGCGAGCCTGGAGAAGGTAGGATGTGGTAGACCCCATGACAGACCCCCTGGATTCAAGATCATGCTGTTGAATGCCAGGTTCGTCAACAGTAAAACAGCGGCTATCCATGACTTGATTCTGGATGAGGGGGCGGACCTGGTTTGCATCACCGAGACCTGGTTGGACAAGCTGGGTGGGGTAAATCTCACCCAGCTGTGCCCACTTGGTTTCGGGGTGCACCAGCAGGCTAGGGCCAGGGGGTGGGGAGGAGGGGTCGCAATAGTCTTTCACATGCCATCTCCGTGATCAGATGCACTGTCCACCAGTCTACTGGGTTTGAGTGCGTTCACCTGAGGGTGGGAAATTGTGATATCTTGGGGATTCTGCTGGTGTACTGTCCACCCCACGACTCAGCAGTCTCCCTGCCAGAGCTAGCTGATGTGGTCTCTAATTTGGCTCTGGTCTCCCAGCACTTGATTGTGCTGGGAGATTTTAACATTCATGCAGAAACCACTTTAACAGGAACGGCTCAAGACTTCATGGTTGCCATGACGATCATGGGACTATCACAAGTTATATCTGGGCCCACCCATCAGGCTGGACATACACTCGACCTGGTTTTCATTGCAGACAGTGGAATGGTCAGGGTGGAAGAGCAAAATATTCTTCCATTGTCCTGGTCTGACCATCATCTGATCAGTTTTAGACTCACTGTGACCTCTAACCTTCACAGGGGTGGAGGACCAATTAAGATGGTCCGCCCCAGGAGACTGATGGATCCGGATGGATTCCTGAGGAACCTTGGGGCTCTTCCTGTCATGGAGGCTGGCAATCCTGTCGATGCCCTGGTTGATCACTATAATAGTGAGATGGCCAGGGTGATAGACACGATCGCTCCCTAACGTCCCCTCTCACTGCGCAGAGAGAACGCCATCTCCTTGGTTCACTGAGGAGTTGGCTGGGATGAAGCGCACAAGAAGGGGTCTAGAGTACATCTGGAGGAAATCCTGGGGTGTCTCCGACCAAACGCGGGCTAGAGCCTCACTTAGAGCCTACACCGCAGCTATACAGGCAGCCAAGGAAACCTGCTTGACTGCCCGCATAGCGTCCACATCCAATAGATCCTCGGAGCTGTTTCGGGTCATTGGGGATTTCCTTCATCCCCCTGGGGTGGAGGAGGTCTTTGACGACCCGACAGCTCGGTGCTGCGAGTTCGCCTCGAGCTAGATACCAGATTAAATACAGTGCCAGAGGAGGTGACCGAGGCATCTGATTGTCCGGTTTTGTGGGATTCTTTCCAGCTTGTTCATTCTGATGATGTGGAGGGGGTCCTTGGGGCTGTGAGGGTGACCACATTGGCTCTGGACCCTTGCCCTTTTTGGCTAATTAAATCGGCCAGGAATGGGTTGATCGATTGGTTTGTGATTATCATTAATGCATTGTTGGAACAGGGGACATTTCCATCTTGTTTGAAACAGCCTGTGGTGAGACCACTCCTGAAAAAGGCCTCCCTTGACTCACCGGTTCTGAGCAATTACAGACCAATTTCCAACCTCTTTTTTTGTGCAAAATGCTGGAGCGGGTGGTTGCCTCTCAGCTCCAGGGATTCCTGGATGACATTGACTACCTGGACCAGTCACAGTCTGGCTTTAGGCCTGGTCACGGTACCGAGACGGCTTTGGTCACTTTGGTGGATGACCTCCACAGGGAGCTGGACAGAGGGAGTGTGACCCTGCTGGTTCTCTTGGACATCTCAACGGCTTTCGATACCATCGACCATGGTATCCTTCTAGGACGGCTCTCCGGGATGGGTCTTGGAGGCATGGCTCTGTTGTGGCTCCAGTCCTTCCTGGAGGGCCACTCCCAGATGGTGAAGTTGGGGGACACCTGCTCGAACCCCTGGCCCTTGACCTGTGGGATCCCGCAAGGTTCCATTCTATCCCCCATGCTTTTCAACATCTACATGAAACCGCTGGGTGAGGTTATCTGGAATTTTGGAGTTGGGTGCCATCTCTATGCAGATGACGCCCAACCCTACTATTCTTTTCCACCTAATTCCAAGGAAGCCCCTCAGGTACTGGAGAGTGCGTGGCCGCTGTGGCTGTCTGGATGAGGATGAATAAGCTGAAGATCAACCCTGACAAGACAGAGGTCCTCCTGGTTGATCGTAAGCTGGATCGGGATATAGGGTGGCAACCTGTGCTTGACGGGGTTGCACTCCCCCTGAAGGCTCAGGTCCGCAGCCTGGGTGTCCTCCTAGACCCATCGTTAACGCTTGAAGCTCAGGCGTCGGCAGTGGCTGGAAGGCCTTTGCACAACTAAGACTCATGCGCCAGCTGAGACCGTACCTTGTGAAGTCTGATCTGGCCAGGGTGGTCCATGCCTTAGTCACCTCCAGATTAGATTACTGTAATGAACTCTACGTGGGGCTGCCCTTGAAGACGGCTCAGAAATTTCAATTGGTCCAGCGGACGGCAACCAGGCTACTTACTGGGGTGACTTACAGGGAGCAGTCAACCCCCTGTTTAAGGAGCTCCATTGGCTGCCGTTCATTTTCCAATCCCAATTCAAGGTGCAGGTTTTGACCTACAAAGCCCTGAACGGTTTGGGACCCGCCTACCTGCGTGACCACATTTCTGTGTATGAACCCACAAGATCTCTTCGTACATCTGGGGAGGCCCTGCTCTCACTCCCACCTCCCTCGCAGGCACGATTGGTGGGGACGAGGTAGAGGGCCTTCTCGGTGGTGGCCCCCTAACTCTGGAACTCACTCCCCAAGCATATCAGACGAGCATTCTCTCCTTCCTCGTGCAATCCACTAATGATGCCTTCCTCCTGCTCCCTCTTTTCTCCCTGCAGCTGTGGGACCATCACGGACGTCAGCTTGGGGTTAATCAGCACCTTCTACTGCCATGGGGTCAGGGGCCGCTACGTGAGCATCGTCATCCCCAGACGGAATGAATACCTCCACGTCTGCGAGGTGGAAGTCTATGGCACCAAGGGGAACCGTCAGAAATAAAAGAGATCACCTGTGCAGATTGTGAGCAATAAAGCTCCCTCTGATCCAGCCTTGTTAGCCTGGCATCTTACTTGTCTTGCGGCCATTACTTACACTCTCCTCTTCACGTTAGATGTGATGGAGCTGTGCCCGCTTGATCTTCCTCCATTTCTTCAAACCCAGGGCAGGGGCCGTTGGGATGAAGTCAGGGCCTTTCACTGCCTTTCTTCTGGACCTGGGCATGATGGAGCTGGGGCAGTTGGAAGGGAAGGAAGGGGGTTCCTTTTATGTCTGATCTTTCATAGAATCATAGAATCAAAGAGTTGGAAGAGACCTCCTGGGCCATCCAATCCAACCCCTTTCTGCCAAGAAGCAGGAAAATCCCATTCAAAGCACCCCTGACAGATGGCCATCCTGCCTCTATTGAATAGACTCCAAACTAAACACGCTAATTAAAATTCCAAGGCCGGGTCCAGGTCAATTCATTGTCACCAGTTGTGTAAATCTTCTCGCTTGCTGCTATTCAGTGGTCGAAGGCTAGGTCCCATAGCCAAGTCTTGAGTATCCTTCTGAAAGACAGGAAGGAGGTGGCCAATCTGATATCCCTGGGGAGAGAATTCCACAGACCGGGGGGGAGACACTGGTGAGAAGAAGAAGAAGAAGAAGAAGAAGAAGAAGAAGAAGTACTACTACTACTACTACTACTACTACTACTACTTTATTTTTCTACCCTGCCTCCATCTCCCCAAAGGGACTCGGAGTGGCTGACATGGGGCCCAAGCCCAGGCAGAATACAATTAAAATAAAGCAATGACATTTATTTGTCGTGTCAGGGCAACCAGTCAAATTAAATTACATTTCTAACAGAACAAAGCAAACATCAGACAAAATACAGAGTTTGCGAGTTTGGTAGTTGCTTAAATATCCTTTGACCAGTATCTGGCCATGTGGAGTGCCTCTGGTGTTGCCGCAAGAAGGTCCTCCATTGTGCATGTGGCACGGCTCAGGTTGCATTGCAGCAGGTGGTCAGTGGTTTGCTCTTCTCCACACTCGCATGTCATGGACTCCACTTTGTGGCCCCATTTCTGAAGGTTGGCTCTACATCTCGTCGCGCCTGGGGGCTATAACTCTTAGTGAAAGAGGCATGGACGTGACATCTTTCCCCCAGGGGATTGTTTCTTGCCCTCCTTTAGGAAAACTGGAACTCCCAAAGACCAAAACACTGTAGATAACTCAAAATAGGTTTAATTGTTCACAAAGAGTTATCCCTTTAAGGCAATAAGCTGGAAGTTTCAAAGGGGTAAAGGAAAATATACATTACAGTCTCTGGTTGTCTTGGGTCCAAGGAGTTTTGCAGCTGAGAAGGTTTTCCAGGTTCCTCTTTCTCAATGGCTGTGAATATCAGAATAATCACAACCCCAGTCCAAATGGCCTATGTTTGAAGACACAAAGCCTTCCTCTGGTGCCAAAGAACTGGTTTGAAGGCGCTTGAGACTTCTCAACATTGTCCAGGTTGATCTGAACATGAAGCATAAGTCTCAAGGGTAAGAACCTTAGAATTGGTGCTGAGAGGTAACTTAATCAAGGGCTTCAGAGCCAAGTCTCTCTCTCTCACGTCCATCTGATAGAAAGTTTGATGGTGGAATGGAAAAGGAAACACTGTCCTGCTCTCTAGGAAGAGGTGGGGTCAAACAGTTGAGCAGGAGGAACAATTCAGCTGGTGCAAACAACATTGATTGACAGCTATAAATAACCAATCAATCCAACTATACATTTACAGGGTAAAAAGGCAAAATCAGGCATGATGCAACAGTTGAAATCATGCCACTTACAGTTCTACATATAGGTGGTGCCACTCGCACCGTCACAAATAATAAAAATGATTGAGGACACTTGTCCCTACCCCAGGAAAGTTTATTGTGTGCAGGATGGTCTTGGGAGAGCCCCACCAAAGGTGTTGTGACTTAGCAGTTGGAATCACAGAGTGATAGTGTCAATGATTCTGATGAGGATGATAGGATTCAGATTCACAATCAGGTGCAAAGTGATGTCCCTGTAATAGACGATGAAGAACAGGGTGCAGAAGTTCAGTTTCCCACAGCCAGGGATGATGCTGTTGATAATGAAACTAGCCAGAGCCAGGTGCGTGATGATTTGGAAAGGAAGGACAGTTGTTCTCAGTCAGATAATGAGCAAGAAAGCACTAACGAACAGATTGACAGGTTCTTGTGGGTTTTTTCGGGCTATATGGCCATGTTCTAGAGGCATTCTCTCCTGACGTTTTGCCTGCATCTATGGCAAGCATCCTCAGAGGTTGTGAGGTCTGTTGGAAGTAGGAAAAATGGGTTTATATATCTGTGGAATGGCTGGGGTGGGGCAAGCCCGGGCTCAGGCAGGCCTTCAAATGCTAATGAAGGTGGTCAGTTGAAACATTCACACCTAGCTCCAGCAGAGAAGAGTCCTTTGTCCCACCCTGGTCATTCCACAAATATATAAACCCTGTTTCTTAGTTCCAACAGACCTCACTATCTCTGAGGATGCTTGCCATAGATGCAGGCGAAGCATCAGGAGAGAATGCCTCTAGAACATGGCCATATAGCCCGAAAAAAACCCCACAAGAACCTATTGATTCCAGCCATGAAAGCCTTCGACAATACATTGAACAGATTGACCTTGATGAGGAAGAAACTTTAGATCAAGAGGGCCGTTTGGAATTCAAGGTTCGAAGGAGTGTGAGAATCACTAACAAGCGAGAAGCTAAGGCCCAGAGGAACGCCTTCATGTTTTGCAAAGGGTATTAAACAGGCTGTTTGAAAATATCCCGGTGTCAGAGCAACTTCACGTTTCAGTCAAGAGGCTTACATTGTTTGCCTGGATTTATCTTGCAGTTTTTATGTTCATGGTTTCAGGACTTTGTCATGTTTTCATGGGACTTTGCCTTGTTGGTGTCTTTGTGAATCCTGTTTCCAGTGTTAATAATAATAATAATAATAATAATAATAATAATAATAAACTTTATTTATATACCGCTCTATCTGCCCGAGGGGACTCACGAGCGGTTCCCAGGTAAAAATCACAGAACATACAAAGTAAAACAACATAACCATAAGATTAACAAAACAAAATATGCATACAAATTTTTGCCATAACGCACACATATTAAAAATAATCCTGCCTGTTCAAGGCAATTTTAAAAATTTAAAAGGCCAGTGTGCTGGTACAGCTGTACCAGAAGCTCCCACTTTATTTGGTTTGTTTTAAATGTTTGCTTGCAGCGCAAGGCTTGGGATTCTGCAACAGGGTGGCTTCCTGTTAAAGTTTACAGTTATAGGGCAGGCCACCTGTCCATCATCATTAGGTTCCTTAGTTCCGCCCCCTTTTGGGTTTTCAGAAGGGAAAGGGGCCATTTTCAGTCAGTCACACATGAGGAAGCTAGTCTATAGGACGCAGACAGCTCGTCCCGTAGGAAAAGCTTCATTCCTCAAGACCATCCGGGGATCATCCGGTGATCATTTGGGGATCATTTGGGGATCATCCAGGGAAATAGAAGCAGAAGGAAAAGATCCCAAAGGCTCTGGCTGAGAGCTCACAGCCTCTTAGCCTCACAGCACCAGAGGGGAAAACAGCCCTGAAGTTCCCATAGGACAGCATTACAGAACCACGGAATTCCAGCCTAAAGATATCCAAACCTTGGCTGGTAGGTTTACTCGATGTCCAGACGCATTTGGGATCGGTAGTAAGACTCAGACCAGCGAGGCCCAGATAATAGACAGCCTGGAAGAGATTATAAAGGGTTCTTCCTCATGCTGAGAAAGTACAGTAATCCAAGTCAGTGCCAGTCTCTTAAAGACTAGAATAAGAAAGCCTTGAAGTGTTGTTTGAAGACTGGTTATTTGTTCCTTAATAAAGACTTTGTTGTACCATTAAGGACTCTAAAGACTATCACTTCAGGAGTTCCCTAACAATCTCTCTTTATGGCACCCCGGCTTCCCACTGGGTTTAAAGTATACGTCCTATAGAATAAAGACAATTTGTTCAGATCCAGTGCACGACAAAACAGCCGGGCCAAGATTTGTGCAAGCCCTTGTATCGATTTTTGGAACATTACTTTTGCTTTTATGAACTTTTTATCTTTTATTTTAATAAACCATAAGGATTACTGGCTGTGTGCTGTTTGTTTTCTTAAGCAAGGTGATTCTGCTCTGAGGTGCGGCAAGGGGGCCAACCCAGGGCATTGGCCCTAGATCATGGCAACTCAAAGCAGGACATATTGGCACAATCATGTAAATAGCAGAGGAGAGGGGCACAGAAGAAGACCATCGTGTTCCTTCTGTGGCGAGGGGTCCCACACACAAAGGTGCGTTGTGAAGAGTAGCAACTTCCCCTAAGGCAGGCAGGAAAAAGACAATGGCCCATTTTGTCCTGTCCGCGGGGCTATCGTGTTACATAGTTATTTATTGTTGGATTCGTTTCGATCTGTTCAACTCGATAAGGTCCTCAGGGTTCTGGGGGAGGTGAGACCTACCACCTGCATCCTAGACCCTTGCCCTTCCTGGCTGGTAAAAAAACCCATAGGGGGTTTGGCAGAGTGGGTAAAGGTGGTGGTTAATAGCCATTGTCCTCCCAACCCTGCTCTATGCCTGTGAGACGTGGACTGTCTACAGACGTCACATGCAACTCCTGGAACGATTCCATCAGCGCTACCTCCGGAAAATCCTGCATTCTCCAGGTCATGCAGTGTTCAAGAACATGCAATTGGAGAGCTGCCTTGGGATCCTGTTGCAACTGTTTTCCTTGGTGTTCCCCATAACCAGGAGAGCTCTGCAGATATCATTTCCCCATACTCTGATAGGCAACACCTATCATTTCCCCATACTCTGATAGGCAACACCGCTTGGGAAGACAAGCGGACAAACGTCAGAGTGCTGGAAGAAGCAAAGACCACCAGCATTGAAGCGATGGTCCTCTGCCACCAACTCCGCTGGACCGGCCATGTTGTCCGGATGCCCAACCACCATCTCCCAAAACAGCTACTCTACTCCGAACTCAAGAACGGAAAATGGAATGTT